TATTCTTTGACTATGCAGTACAGTAAACATATTTAAAGGAACAAAACATGTTTTACATGGTGGTCACCTTGGAATTTAATATGGCCGCTAAATGACCTTAACCTAAAATGGCTGTCATAATGACCTCTGATGAAATAGCTCCTATCAAAAATTGAATTTTGTGAGCTTATGTATGATTTTGCTTTAAAACACGACCACTTACAAACTATTAAGATTTTCTACGTATTTAACAGAGAAATGAATCTTAATGACTTTAAATGACCATCTGACCATGTCACAAGTGCTATAAATCCTTGACCATGAAAATATATTTTTAGACATCCTAATTCTTATTGGAAGTTGTTTAAAAGCCGATATATTGATAAATATAGGTTTTGCATGGCAGCCATTTTGAAATTTAAGATGACTGCCAGAATGACCTCGAATGAAATATTGTAATTCATAGTAAAAAGTTTGAATTCTGAGAGCCTGGGTATGATTCTAATGTAAAATTTGACAATTACGTAATTTTAAAGATACCATACAATATTTGACCTTGAATGACATTACATGACCCATTTGTGGAAATCTGACCAGGTCAAAAATGATATGATGGTATTCCTCGATCATATAAACATACTCTTAGACATTAGAATTATAATTCCAAGTGGTTTAGAAGCGGAGATATAGATAAACATAGGTTTTATTAGGCGGCCATTTTGAAATCCAAGATGGCCGCCATAATGACCTCGGATGAGGTGGTTCCTACCAAAAATTGATGCTATGACCATAAGGAGCATGTAAAAAAAAATTGGTGCTTTTGTCCGGAATGTCCACATTAAGTCCAAATATGGCCCTAAGCTGCCGTACTAATAGGCTAAACATGAATAAGTTTTTAGTGCGAGTAACCTACGACTAAGAACGTTCAGTGTAAACAAACAAGATTACAATCATACATATCCAAAAAAAAAAGTCTACGATGTAGATTCCAAGCCTATAGGCCTATATTGAAAAAAAAAACTTTTCATAAATTCGGCCAAATATAGCTTGGCCGTGAATTTTCTAACGTCTCGGCCAGGCGAATTTTTATACGGCCAGGCGAATTTTTATAAGGCCAGATTTAAGGAATGCATTTCCGGGTATCTACGGAAAAAATCCGGGGGTGGGGTTACCACGGATACCCACACCCCCTTAGTAAATTAAAAGGTGCACTGACTACGATTTGAAAGGTAACATATGAAAGAGATAGAGGGGCTGAGTCACATAGAGGGCTGAGTCACGTATTCCATAATGGGATAATTTGTATAAGATAATTTTGTGGTCGATCGTATCAAAAGCCTTAGAAAGGTCGATGAAAATTCTAGTAACAAATTGGCTGTATTCAAATGCTTCAACAATTGTGTTCGTAAGGTTAGTAAGAGCCATAGGGGCATTGTACCTTTTTTTAAATTCGAATTGTTTGTTGTATATTTGAATAAAGTTGGTTGTTCTGTCATAAATATTTTTCCTAAAGGGCTTTTGAGAAAATAGTAAGAATTGATATAGGACAATAATTTGAAATATCGGATTTGTGCCCGGATTTAGAAATAGGAGTTACATGGGCTTGCTTCATTCTGTTTGAAAATGGAGAGATTAAATATGTGACAAAGGGGGAGCGAAATTAAATCAAAACGTGTTCAATTATTTTAGCATGAAAACCGTAAATACCAAGAGATTTGTTGTTTACAAAGACATTAAGAATAGTGGCCACCTCACTAACGTCTACGGGCGTAAAAATAACGAATTGGGTGTAGGGTTGGGTAGTCGTTCTTTCTCTGGATGTTGAATCTACAGCGCCACCAATCGTCGATGCCTTTAGCGCCCCTGACCCTCAGCCCAAAATGTCCCGGAGAGGCCCCGAACTCCTCTTACTACTACCCAGCACGGTACTGCAGAGAGTCTTGACCATGTGTGCTCTCAGAGACAAAGTTTTAATCCCCAGTTTAGAGGGACTGGATGGGCCACGAAGCCTCTTCTAAATTCACATTCTCTATTAAGAAAAATTAACCAACATCAAATTATTGACCTAATAATAAGAATATGGTCTATGGTCAAAATTAGTAAGATAATTGTGTTGATGATATTTAGAAAATAGTAAAATACTACTGTGAAGGAGGCCATCTTACTAGTACCCTGCAGCACTGGCAGAACAGGATTGGTCGGGTTTTAGGGCCAAGTATTTAGTGGGTGGGCCAAACCTGCTGTAAGAACCACCAATCAATTGGCAAAAATGTTTGCATATTGATAATTTTAAAACTTTAAAACAAAAAATTGGCTCATGGATCACAAGTTGGCTGTTGTTTAACTGTTCTCAAAAGGTGATATGGAAAATTACATTTTAAAAATCACAAAATTATTAGTCTCTTAAACTAGAGCGCCATTCTTTAAACGATGGATCGCATACAAACGAAATAGTATTTCGTACAAAAACTCCAATTTTAGGTGGCGTTCGTTTTTAGACCACGGTCCAAAGGTTAAAAACGAGGGGTGTAATTCTACCATTTGGAAATTTAACACCAAACATTCCCGGTCACAAAGTAGTGATAACACAATTAAGCCAGGCACTCGCTGCGTCGTACGACAGTCGTGCGACCGTCGGCCGGCGAATCCAACTCCGCTTCCAGTGAACGTCAGACGACGTGACGCCGTCTTCTAATGTCAGTGACAACTGGTAGCAAACTTAAAGTAGCCCCTCTCCCACCTAGGTTTATTTCACCTAAGAGTCGTACGATTTCTACGAGTTAAAACTCGTGATCTTTGGAAAGGGCCTATACGAGCTTATTACGTGTTAGCTAAGAGTGAGGTACGAATTATGCCGAGCAGAGCACCGAGTTAACTACGAAATTATTAAGAGCGTAACAAGTTTGTACCGAATTAGATACGATTCAACTCGGTGCGCTCGTACTTACTCGTACTCGTTTTTGGGTGCTCGCATCAAACTCGTAGATGACAAAACCGCCGACTAGTATCCAGAGTAGTGTACGAGCTAGGTAGAAGTACCCCGAGTACTCTACGAGCTACCTACGAGTTCTTCGAGTTTACTACGAGTTATCTACTCGTGGCGATAATTTTAAACATGTTCAAAATTAGCGCTACGAGTTCAGAGCTGCTACGAGTAGGTAAGAGTCCACTCCGAGCTTTCCGAATCGTCCTACGAGTTTTTGCCGAGTTAGCAACTCGGCATTCTCTTGTAACTCGTATGCTGAAAAAACCCCTAGTTGGAGAGGGGCAAGGCCAACTCAGACAGCGTCGGCCGACGCAGCCCGACGCGATTTGTTGTCGCGTCGGGTCTGTGTGAGTTGAACGCAGACGCGATGGTGTGCGTCGGGGGCAGTCGCGTAGTAGAAT